CGGGGTTTCGAAACGTTTTTTTTTTTTTCATTTTCTTTTTTTCTTTTTGTTTTTTTTTTTAATGCAATAGAAAACAACAATGCCCCCCAAAAAAATATGGGCGTGTAGAGTTCAAAAAACCCTACACGCCCATATGGGAAAAAAATACCTGCACCAAACTTGGCTGGTCGGCCGTGGCCGAACCCAGCCGATTTGGCCGACGGCCGCGACCGCGGCCGAGTTTTCGGCCCCGGCTGTGACCAGGCGTGCAAATATAGTGCGGAGCAACCAAGTTTTTTTTCAATTAAAAAAAAAAAAAAAATCAAATTCGTGTTCGACTCATCATCTACGTGGGAGTGTTTTCCAATGTTCAGTCGAACGCACGCTCCTTTTAGACGCTTTGATGGCTGCCGATGGAATTTTATCAGCGGCGGCCTTGCCCTGCCTGCCCCGGACTTTTTCAGTGGTGGTGACGAGTTTCTTTCTGCAAGGCTGCGGCCGTGCACTGGTGGTTTATATGTGCAGCATTACAAGCTATTTGGCCCCATTCGAAAACCTACAGATTCCAGTGGTTTGACCGCTGCAGAGTCCATTTGGTGAATCATCCCTAGACTAAAAAAAAAAAAAAAAAAAAAAAAAAGTCCCACTTCACCTTCTAGCCTACTTATGATGAAGTTGAAAGGCCACTTAAAAAAAAAAAAAAAAAATCTAGCAAAATCAACAGTGACATGGCAAGAACGAAAAGCAGGTGGGTAAACCAGAAAGCTCTGTATTGTGGCCATGCAGCTCGATTATGGTGCGCTTTCCGTTAGGAGGGGGGGTGCTCTTATCACCTTTTCTAGCGGTGCGGCCGGTTAAAAATAAAATAAAAATAAAAGAGAAGGATTGCCATCGTAAATTTTTGTGTTCGATTGGTACCTTGGTTCCCAATATACCAGTGCTGCAGCTAACAAGCCGAACACCTTGGACCGACCTACCTCTGCTGTGCTGCAGCTACGGTCTTCACCCGAACAGAACATAGCGCCGTTATTACAGTACGTAGACTGACAGTTCGCCCACACACGGCTGTAACGACCGTACGTTCTATTCGGGTGAAAAGGGTAGCAAGGCACCTAGGGATGGTGGCAGCTTCTTAGGAATGGAAAATTGTGCTTTTCAAACCCATCGACTCCATACCGTACATTTTCGGCCACACCCGCGCCGGGACCCAAGGGAGTTGTTTCTTCAGAGTCCAAGTCTTTTCAGAGACTGTGTAGAGTAAAACCAAGCAGATACCACCGGGATAGAGGCCTTGCCAAAAAAAAAAAAAGACAAAAAAAAAACCACTGGGATAGGGGCCTTGAAAAATAAAAAAAGACGTAGATACCTAGACCCCTTCACATTACTGGCGAAGTAGCTAGTGCTTTCCTCAGTTTCCTGGTACCGGGTCTCTCTGGAGTTAGGCAGGTACTACAGGCCCTCTGCTTGGTTCCTTCTGGTTGCAGGTACTACAGGGAGTACATGGTAGGCAAACATTTTGAACCCACATGGCGGTCTTTTTTCCCCCACAACTTCCACAAGTATCTGAACTTGGGGCACATCCCATTTGGTGGACACTTTTGACTACTTTTTTTTCTTTTTTCCTTTTTTTTCCACTGTAGACACACTTTCCACTCTTTTCAGCAGCAAAGCCACCCAAACAATCTTTCGGATAGGCAATGCGCACCTTGGTTCTGTTCGTTGTTGTGTTTTGCACAGGTGCACCGTGGCGGAGCATAGCCAGGCGGAACCGATGCAATGTTCCGCCTGTCAAAAGCATGAACCTGGTCGCACAAACGTTCAGGTCCCTGCTCGCATACCATGAACATAGCACCAGCAGGATCATATCATGAACATAGCACCAGCAGGGCATGACCCGGTGGCTGATGCCATCACGGGCAAGGGTAATAATGGATGTTTCTTTAGCCAAAAATGGGTTTTTGGCTGGGCTACCAGCCGCGCCGCCCGGGTCACCCTATTTTCCAGGGCGGCCCGGCCGTGCAAGGGCCAGGGACGGTCCCGGCCAAAAAAAAAAAAAAAAAAAACCGAAAAAAAACTATGTTATGCAGAAAAATAAACTGAACAACTTTTGCCTCAGGGTCACATCAAAATTCTTTACCAAATTTAAAATAAAAATTTAAATAAGAAAATCGGTGAGAAGTTGAGAACTCTTTGCTGCTAATTTTGGAGTGCGAGATATGAAGACGAACTGTTCGTTATAGGAGGGATCGTTTGCACAGATATAGCAGATATTCAAGGCAAGATGGGGACACTTTAACCACACACACACACGTGCGAGCTCACACACACAATGTCCTTTAAAAAGGCCGGCGGCCTCGAGGTATCATTATTGAACTGAATGGCCTCAAGTAATTTAGAATGATTTTATTCTTGTCATTTGATTGCATCTGGATTCGACCTTGGGTCTGCACACAATTTCACAGTCCACATACATCACTTCACCTCTCTCTCTCTCTCTCTCTCTCTGTGTGTGTGTGTGTGTGTGTGTGTGTGTGTGTGTGTGTGTGTGTGTGTGTGTGTACCAGATACATTAGTTCACAAAAGCCGAGGCATCTGAGCACATGAGATTACCTATTATACTAACAAAGGAAAGGGCACCATGTGCAAAACGTTGTGACCGTCTGAAAACAGCTTAAGAGTGAGGTGAGGCTCGGGGGAGGGCGTGTTGAGGGGTGTTTCATCATGTGGGTGCTCCACTATGGTTCCGTCCCACGGTGAATGCTACGATGTGCCGTCAGATTGTTCTTCACATCCACGGTGGTCCAAAGCAGAGTGCTAACTCACTCAGAGTGTAGGAACAATCAGAGTGCTAACTCACTCAGAGTGTAGGAACCAGTGTATCAAAGGTGTTTCAGAATGTCGACACATACACGGAAGAAGGGATTGTGAGGAGGAGGGAGATTGTATGATGCTTAACTCACTCAGAGAATGGAGGGAACCTGTTAAGAGGTACCCCAACCTTCTAATCTTAGGTGTGAGAAAAGTGTGAGCAGTATAGCAACATGCATTATGCACATGAGGGAGGGGTGGGAAAGTCTCAAGGGGTTGGACCATTGCAAAATCATATGTCCATTGGAGAGAGAGATGTCTGACATGCGATGTCAAGCGGCAGCACGTGACACATTCTGTTCGTGTTGCGGAGGAAAGGGCAGGATAGCAAATAAGTGCCTTTTACCCCCCCTCGTAATCCCACATGCAATCCTCCTTTTGAGGCTTTGGCAATAATTATAACAGATCACAGAGCAGAAGTGGAGGTAGCAGAGCTGGGTCGCAGATTTCGGTAAGCTTTCGAAATCGCTGAAGCCTCGATATTTAACTAAAAGGTGAGTACCCTCCTTTGGAGGTTGAATATTTAATCGAATCGAGGGGCGCCACTTGTGCTGCGCCGATCACGATCAAAACATCGAATCGAGAAGCGCCACTTGTGCTGAGCCAATCATGATCAAAACTTTCTGTTCTACTCGATCACCTATCAAAGCATCACTAGTCCCCTACCTTGTGGGTGTCGCAAGCTCTCTCCATCCAAATTTCTCCATAAATTGTTGCGAAGTTCGTCGTCCGACTTTTGTGCTTCACATAACCACGGACCAACAGGCAGAGGCGGTTGTCTCTTTCCCACACTCCCATTTCTATGATGTATCTGATGTCCGTCGACTCAATCGCCTACCAAACCACCACTAGTCCCCTACCTTGTGGGTGTCGTCGGCTCCCTCCGTCCAAATTTTATGATTTACGTTCCTCCATGAATATTCTTGCAACGTTTGTCGTGCGACTTTCGTGCTTCACATAACCGCAGACCAACAGGCAGGGGCTGTTGTCTCTCTCACACACTCCCATTTCTATGTTGTATCCGATATCCGTGTCTTTCTTCGCCCTCCATATCTATGAGTTTGTTTCTTGCTGTTCTTCCTGAACTGCATGCGTCGTGCGTTCACCATCCACTGCCTTCTCCTTCTGAACATCATCGAATTGTGCGGACGTGCTTACAGATATACCCTTGAATGCCGACGACAAATTTGGAGACAACCCCCTCACTCTTTCAAGGATGGCGTTCCCCTCCGCTTTTGAAACGAAGACACTAACCAGATCTTTGCCTTTCCAGCAAACGACGGCAATGGTGGTGCCATCAACTGCTGTGTCGTCATCCCCCGCCCCTTCCTCTTTCATCACGAAGACACAAGAGCCCGCACGGAAAGTGGATACTGTTCTCGTGACATCAGCGTCCTCAAACTCGTTGATCGGCATATCGTACCTTGTCATAAGCTGCAGAAAGTCGGCCGCTGACACGCGCACGATCTGACGCGTCATATGTGCCAGCAGCACTGGCAATCCCTCCGACACAAGCCGGAACAGACAGTACACTCCTTGCTTGTCCTTAAGATTCTGCCTTTCGAATATCTTTAGACCCGTGGACGTGATCTTCAATGGTCCGCCAAGCTTCAGGTTGAGACAGATAGCGCCAAGTCCAGACTTGGAGACAAAGTACAACCGCTTGCATCTTTCAAAGTCGTCGCTGCGGGTGATGAGCTGCCCACGCAGCGGAAAGCTCGCCTTGATACCATAAAACTCCTTAAGGTTGGTTAGTATATCCTCGTCGTCAAGAACCAGTACAGGGTCCACTCCCTTCCATCTACCCTGGATGTGCACTTGCGACGAGCCTTCTTCTTTCTCTGTGTTGACGCTTGCTGTGCCGCCTCCACCCTTCTCTAAGGCCGACCCTTGCTCGTTGTCATTGCCGTCATCGACTTCCGCATTGCTCGCATCTACGTTGTCGTCTCGTTCTTCACCGTCCTGATCGGAGAAGCCTTCCACCTCCTCTTGGGAGCCTTCCCTGGCCACTCCTCCCATTGCATCAGGTTCGTCTTCGACTACAAGAGCACCTCCCTTTTCAGCACTTGCTTCATCGTCTCCTTCACGACCGTTCTCTAGTGCTGGCATGCCCTCCACTCTGGACTGCCTTCCTTCTCCTGATCTCTCGATTCGCCGAACTTCCCTTCCTGATAACTGAGGAGGACCTGATATGACAATCCAGATCGAGATGACACACGACCCCACAGCACATAGAGAGCACGCCGGCATGTTTATTCAAAGCGCACATGTGGAAGAAAAGTCCATTTGACTGAATGGTGACGCTACAACATGCATGTACTCATTGCCAATAAACAGATCACAAGTTCAAATCCTGACTGAATTAATGTCAGGACCTGCCCCTTTTGGGGAAAAGTGAAAAGAGAGAAAGAGAACTGATACCAAAGCCGCAAACTTTCCCATCACAGTGCCAATCCTTATTAAAGTACCCGTACATGGGCACCTGGGCCGCGCGGGGTCTGACACCTCAAATTCTGGAGGCGCGAAATGAAACCGCCGATTGAATTTATCAACGGCGGACCCAGCGTTTGACGTTTCGACCTCCGAGTCGTTTTCTTTGTGGCGACAAGTTTCCGACTGCAAGGCCGGGGCCCTGTACTTGTTGTTTGAAGTGTGCATTTAAAATGATTACGTCAGCGACATGCTCAGTTTTGCTACATGCCTGAAAACATCACAGAGGCATGGCGCATAACCCAAGCGAAGACCGAAGGAGAAAGAGCAATAATAATGCAGCAGAAGACTGAAATACACAGATCTGACGCATCATGACTCATGACTGACTGCATACATCCATCGTCACACAAATGTGGGAATGACACGGCGACATTTTTTCCCAGCTCCATTTTTTTCCCCGAGGGAGCCCCCGAGCACCGCGGTGGTCCCATAGCATCGTGATTCTCCGCGCTCCCTCACAAGGAGGGACTGGGCAAAATGAAGAATGTGTCCATCAATGACCATCACTGCAATTAGATCAAGATTGGTCCGAAGTCCGCCGCTGAAGACTCTGATTTTTTATTTTTTTTCAACCGCTTATGCAAAAAAAAAAAACATGGGCAGCAGCTTCATCTTACCACAACACCGTCATCACATGGGTTACCATCACACCACCCACCATTGGATATAACCTACTCAGGTGCAAGCTCCTCCCCCCACCCACCCACCCCCAAAACACCACACCATGTCAAGCACTCTCACCTGCTCAATCACCCAGCGCATTTTTCAAAGCGCTTGTTCAAAAAAGTCCATCGGCAGCAGCTTCATCCAGACAACAACACACAATCGTATGGGGTACCATCATACCACCCACAGTAGGGTGCCACCTACTTAACTGCAAGCAACCCCCCTCATGTCAAGCACACCTCTCACCCGCCTAAAAATCACCCACCTCCCCTCCCAACTCGCATGATACCCAATCCCCAAACCGTAAGAACACTAAGGACTCGTTCAGATCTTCTTCGGCAAGTTGGCAATGTTGCCTGAGTTTCTTAAGAGACTGAAGCTGCCTGTTTGGAAGTGGATTCGAATCGCTGACACAAGGATTGCCAGTCCCTTGCTTTGACCAACTGAGCTACCTAAACAAAAACAAAATCAACCTAAGCGGTCTTCTTCCCTCCTCAACTGCAAGCAGGTTGACTTCGCATCATCAAAATGCTCCCGGAATGCCCATAGGAGGCTGCATCTGTATTGAAACACCGTCTTTCATGTAACCTGTACAAGTGCCGTATGCATAAGGATCGCGCCATGGCAAGTGGCAGACATTGCTGAAGGGACAGGGGAGCAGAGGAGAGGAGCAGCGGTAACTGCCCTTTCCCAAGCAGCGGTAACTGCCCTTTCCCAAGCAGCGGTAACTGCCCTTTCCCAAGCAGCGGTAACTGCCCTNCCTTTCCCAAGCAGCGGTAACTGCCCTTTCCCAAGCAGCGGTAACTGCCCTGCCCCTGCGGTAACTGCCCTTTCCCAAGCAGCGGTAACTGCCCTGCTCCTGTCCCTGCTCGGCTGCGGTGACTGCCCTGGTGGGAGGGTGTGTTGTGTGTCGGGTGAAGATGGTAGCGGCAAGCCTCGGTGTTCAATCTGACTATCCTGTCCCTGCGGTAACTGCCCTTTCCCAAGCAAAAGTAACTGCCCTGCCCCTGCGGTAACTGCCCTTTCCCAAACAGCGGTAACTGCCCTGCTCCTGTCCCTGCTCGGCTGCGGTAACTGCCCTGGTGGGAGGGTGTGTTGTGTGTCGGGTGAAGATGGTAGCGGCAAGCCTCGNGCTCGGCTGCGGTAACTGCCCTGGTGGGAGGGTGTGTTGTGTGTCGGGTGAAGATGGTAGCGGCAAGCCTCGGTGTTCAATCTGACTGCCCTGTCCCTGCGGTAACTGCCCTTTCCCAAGCAAAGGTAACTGCCCTGTCCCTGCGGTGACTGCCCTTTCCCAAGCAGCGATAACTGCCCTGCTCCTGCGGTAACTGCCCTTTCCCAAGCAACGGTAACTGCCCTGCTCCTGTCCCTGCTCGGCTGCGGTAACTGCCCTGTCCCTGTGGTAACTGCCCTTTCCCAAGCCGTAACTGGCCTGTCCCTGCGGCAACTGCCCTTTCCCAAGCAGCGGTAACTGCCCTGCTCTTATCCCTGGTCGGCTCCTTGGGAAAATGAGCAGCCGTGCACAACAAAGACTGTCCTCAACTGAACAAACGACACAGCAATGCATTTAATATTTATGTTCACCGAAGAAAGCAGGCATGGAGTGTTTAATTCATTTGCCCGTATGTAAGAGGCTTGCCGCTACCATCTCCACCCGACACACAACACACCCTCCCGCCAGTGCTGCTGTGTCAGACTCTGGACAGATAGCTCGTTTTCATTCATGATTAGGGTCCATTGCGTTTGGGCAAAGATGGTAGACTTGGTGTTCAATCTGACTGCCCTCTTCCCTCAAACACAATGCACCCTCATTATGCATGTACTGGACCAGAAAGATAGCCTGCATGCATTTGTTATCAGGCGTGATATGCCCGGGGAAAGACGGTAGTGTACCCTCATCGCAACTCAGCCTGTACAGAAAGAAGAGAAATATGCATTCTTTTTGTGTGTGCCCGTGGCTGTTGGTAAGTGTGTGAATCAGTAGGACACAGCTGAGAGAGACATTGTTTGATGGAGCGAAGACACACTGTGTGACATCAGTAGAGAGCTTTCTTCTTCTTCTTCTTCTTCTTCTTCTTCTTCTTCTTCTTCTTCTTTCTCTCTGCCTCCCCCTCCTCCTCCTCCTCCTCCTCCTCNTACCAGTTGGTAGAAGCAAATGGGTCGTGTGATATCAGATAGAGAGCTTTCTTCTTCTTCTTCTTCTTCTTCTTCTTCTTCTTCTTCTTCTTCTTCTTCTTCTTCTTCTCCTCCTCCTCCTCCTCCGCCTCCTCCTCGTCCTCCTCCTCTACTGGTTGGTAGAACCAAGTGGGTAGAGTACTTTCTTCATTTTCTTCTTCTTCTTCTTCTTCTTCTTCTTCTTCTTCTTCTTCTTCTTCTTCTCCTCCTCCTCATCATCATCATCATCTTCCTCCTCGCCCTCCTCCCCTACCGGTTGGGTGGCACCGAATAGGTAAGTACGGGAGCAATTAAGCCAGTAGGTCCAACCTAACCAGGAAAACTACTTCCATAACCCATTTGGTTCCCAGTTCCAGCCAATCGGTAGGCAAACTGCCTACATATCAGATTGATTTTCCTTTCTTTTTAATAGGATTCGAATTTCAAACCAGAACAGAACATGAAAAGGAAAGTGCAACGTAAAGAGAGAAATGTGGTCGAACTTTGGATTCTTTTTTGAAGTTTGAAGTTTGGAGTTTGAAGTTTGAAGTTTGTCTCCCTAACCTTTGAATGCGCATTTTTTCTCAAACACTGCAATGAAGAAGCCACCAGTGTCTTGATCGTGCGGCAAAATTCTCATGCAGCGCTCCAGGGGAAAATCGGAATACTCCGCCGCCTCCTGTTGCGCCTCAACTTCCTTTTGCATCGTCTCCGCCTGCGCTTCCTGCGGGTCTTCCATGTTCTCATTTTCTTTTGCAGGCACGGACCGCACAGTGGAGGCGATGCCGGTGTCCATCTTTTCATCTTTTTGAGGGCCAACATCCTCAGCTGCATCTGCAGCAGAGCCATTCTCCCCGCTTGCGTCATTTCTTCTTGTCGGCTCTTGCGCATGAATATCATCATTTGTCCTTGTCGCCTCCCCTCCGTCCACATCGGGGGAGGGGGAATCCGGAATCGCGCCAGAAGGAAACATGCTCGGCAAGATGGTCCCCGCGCGGTGCTTGTCCACCTGCGAGTAGGAGCTGTACCATTTCCTCTTATCTCGAACCTGCCACGTCAGCAAGAATGTGCCCGCCAAGCTGTCATTGGCATGCTTCACACACAGACGGCTAGGAAACAGGAAGCAAAGATGCCTGTGCCGGTTCAACAAAGTGTGTTTTCGCTACAAACCAGCATTTCACACACACAACAATAACGGGCATACATAATTGTTGGAGGAGGAGGAGAAGAAGAAGAAGAAGAAGAAGAAGGCGACGAGTGATGGTGACCATGATGATAAAGGGATCTGAGGGGATCAGTATCAGCGTGCAAATTCACACTGGCCTTCGCCCTCTGCCTGCTGTTGGCCAAAACCAGCAAGGCCTTAGCCAGTGTAGCAGTGTTGCATACCCTGACGGTGGGCTTGACTGGTTGGCTGCCGACCAGCCAAACGGTCGGCTGGTCGGCACCTACCGGTCAGGGGTCGTCGGCACCCCGCAAAAAAATAAAATAAAATAATTGGGTCCAGAGCCCCTAATAACCCCACCAACGCCCCCATAGCGGCCCCCAATATCCCCACACACCCCCTCAACACCCCCGAACCGCCCCCCCCCCCCCCCCCCCCCCCCCCAATACCCCCTACACCGCCCCTTTACCTCCCTATACCCCCGTTGTACCCCCCCTATACGTTGTGCCGCCTCTGCTGCTGCCTCGTCTATCCGTTCATGATAGAATGGGTTGCACAGAACTGCCAAGAAAAGAACAGAGACTGAAGGGCAAACTGATTACAAATCTCAAAAGGAAAAAAAAAAAACTTAAAAAAAAAAAAAAAAAAAAAAAATATATACATACTAAATCAATAATATTATAAAATATATAATCTAAATGCCGTGTGCTAAAAATGCTAAAACTTTTCACTCTGACTAAGGCATATTAAGCTGTTTGTAAAACTTAAAAAAAAAAAAAAAAAAAAACACTGATTACCAAGGAAATCAGTAAGTAACAACTGAAAGAAACACAACTGTTATAAAATACATCCACGTGACAACGCAAGGCTTCCTTACCTTCCATGTCCTAAGACCAGGTCGTCGCTTCAGCTCAGGGAGGCAGCCCGATGTGTCAACAAGATCCACACAACCTCTACTCCGCCTCAGCACCTGATTCAAAGACAACCTGCATGATGTCAGAACACCGGCCACATCTGAACACCTGAAGCAATAGAGGTCTCGGGTAGCTCGACCACTCAATCAAATATAACCATGCGCCATGTCAAACTACATGGATGATGGCTAGAGAAGGGGGCTGTATGACAATGCGCCACCTATCTAGAGTATGACAATGCGCCACCTATCTAGCCATGCGCCATATGTGTCGCTTATTTGACCAACATATATGGGGGTGCAAACTGAGAAAGAAGCAACCGGCAAACGTATTCCCTACTACGCCACACACCAAATGAACTGATCGTGATCACACACACACACACACACACACACAGAGAGAGAGAGAGAGAGAGAGAGAGAGAGAGAGAGAGAGAGAGAGAGAGAGAGAGAGAGAGAGAGAGNAGAGAGAGAGAGAGAGAGAGAGAGAGAGAGAGAGAGAGAGAGAGAGAGAGAGAGATGGGTGATTGGAGATACAGTATATAATTTATATATTGGGAAAACAACGTCTCTGATTGCATTATCCAGGGAGTTTTGGAAACATTATATACTGTTCAAGGGACCCACAAAAAAATGGGAAGGGGGAAAAAAAAGAAACAGGCCCAACAGGGTACATGAATCTGACATAATACGTACTTCGGCAGGATCTGTCCGCAACTCTGCACGTAACTTAATGACTGCTTTGAGCCAAAACAGCTGTTTGTCTTGACCCTGTTTTTGACATGCACCTGCTGTGACGTAGTTTCAAATGATGGTCGTAGCAACTATAGCATCAACAGACTGGAAAGGAGGAAAAGTAGTAAATCACTCCACCTTTTGACAAGGCAGCGCCTGAAGGCCTGGTAGCATTTCTCTCCTCCATGGCACATGGCTTGGACCAGATTCATCAGAATACAGCATTTACATCAGCCATGTCGCCAACAAAAAACTGGCGGCAACACCATTGCAATGTGGATGGCACCACTATTGAACCTCCTCCTCCTCCTCCTCCTCCTCTTCGTCTTCGTCTTCGTCTTCTTCTTCTTGTCTTCATCCTTCTTCTTTCTTCTTTCTTCTTTCTTCTTCTTCTTCTTCTTTTATGGGAACTTAAATCTTCTTCTTCTTCGTCTTCTTCTTCTTTTATGGGAACTCAATTCTTCTTCTTCTTCTTCTTCTTCTTCTTCTTCTTCTTCTTTTATGTGAACTTAATTCTTCTTCGTCTTCTGAACATCGCAAAGCTGACGTTATAAACCACTAGTACCTTTGCCGAGAGGGAAAATACTAAAATAGCGGGCCTCGGGTGGGCCTCCAACCTTTTAGGAAGGCCGAAACGAAACGACAGGACGGCTCGCCGATGAGATTTATCAACAGCAGGCGTCGGCGGGCTCGGCCTACGACTTTTTAGGAGTTTGTGAAAATAGGGAAACTTCCAGTTTCCCCTATTTTGAATTTTCCCAATACTGGCGGAGGTACTAGTGGTTTAAAGTTTAAACCCCACAAGTACACGGCCCCAGCCTTGCAGTCCGAAACTCGTCGCCACAAGAAAACGAGAGACCGGAACGTAAAACGCTGGGCCCGCCGTTGATAATTTTTTTGATCGGCAGTCGCGTTTGTGTTTCGCGCCTCCAGAATTTGAGGTGTCAGACCCGCGGCCCAGCCCATGTACTGGTGCTTTAAGAGGAAAACAAGTCCTGTGCATCTGTTCCCTCTCCTTTCACCTTCTTATTCTTCATTATTGACAACTTTTCTGTGTGATGATTTTGATCACATGGAAAAGCCGTTGCCGTTGTACCGGGTACGACCCACCATGGCAGGTAGTTTCACCACTGACTAAAGAAAAGCCTACCCTTTTTTTGGGGGGGGGTTCTTTTTGGGTAGTTGCAGATATGCCGACAAAAATGCCAACGATTCTATTCTATCGTAGTAGGGCATGTCACCCTCCCTCACACTCACTCACTCTCCACCAGGAGGTTTAAACTTGAAAACGAACAGATGCGGGGACTTTCTCACCTCCGCAACGACAGCCTCGTCTTCCACAGGGTTCAACGAGCACGTAGAGTAAACCATCCTACCCCCAACCTTCAAGAGTTGCACACCTGCATTTTCATTTCAAAGACATGGCAGAAACAAACACAGGATGCATCTGACATTTAGGTATATGAATCTGAGTACACATCATGGTGGGGACCACCACCTGGTACACTTGCATTTTCATTTCAAAGAGATGGCAGAAACAAACACAGGATGGATCTGACATTCAGATATATGAATCTGAATACACATCATGGTGGGGACCACCACCCGGTACACTTGCATTGTCATTTCAAAGAGATGGCAGAAACAAACACAGGATGCATCTGGCATTTAGATCTCTGAAGTTGAACACACATGGTGGGGACCACCACCCAGTATGGCCAGCATGCATTATCAGATCTCTCATGGTGCCTTATAGCCCAATCACAGTCCCAATAGGGTCCGCACGCTAAACCCCCTCATAGAGGCCCCTACCCCTACCCTACCCCTAAACCCTAAACCGTAACCCTAGACCCCACCAGGGTCCAATCTGTTATCCGATATAGCCAATCGATAACCCAACAGGGTCCAATCTGTTATCGGGTATGGCCAATACTATCAGTCAGGTTGTTTTTTTGTTTTTTTCCTCATCTGCTTCCAGTGGAGTTTGAACGCCGGTCTGTATTTCAACAATTCAGTCCAGGGGGGGTGTACCAACTGAGCTTTCTCATAGTTTTTAATAATTTTTAATACTTTCTTATGCCTTTTCCTAGCTCTCAGATTCCATCATCCTTCCAAACCCCCTCTACACACCCCTGCAATGCCTTTTTTCTAGCTTGCAACTGGCCACTATGCCATCATCATCATGTTCTTCCCATGTCATCATCATTCACTTCTATCCAGATCCTATTCTACGATCTATGCAGCTGCCGATACGTTGTTCTTGTTGCTGGGGCAGTAGGGGGTAGTTCAATTCTTTGAATTTCTTTCGTCTTTTTTAAGGATTTTTTTTTTTTTTTTTTTTTTTTGGGACGAATTTTGGAGAGAATTTTGGACCATTTCTCGATTGACGCGTGTCATCCTTGTGCAGGGGCCATGCTAATCTTCTCTATCTGTAGCGTTCCAATTTGCACAGATGTCCCTAAGCACAGGTAGTTCAATTCCTTTCTCACCCATTTGGCTAAGAAGATCCAAGTGCAGTGGATTACCTGCAAGGGTTTCTGCGTTCAGTCAATCTACGCAGAGTGAATCGGTCCCTAAGGAAACCCCGAAAGGCGGCGCCGATGGGTACTGTTCCGGGCCAAAAGTCTGATGACCAGGATGGAAGCCAGAACCACGCTCTATAATCTATTGGAAACAGACATTAGAGCTCAATGGCAGAGGATCAAAATACAAGCAGCAATAAACCCTGAAAAGGCGAAGGCTATTCTCACGAAATTTCAGAATAAGGTATTGGCCAGTGGCAAAGTTGCGACTATAGAGGGACAGAGACTGATATTTCATTGGTTTAAGGAGGACCGATCAGAGGTGTCCTTGGAGATCCAAGGAATGGCACAGGAAATAGGACTACCATAGGGATAGGAAATGGGAGAGGCAGTGAAGACCAGTGGATTGATGTTTAAGCAAAATAAAAAGCTATAGTTAAGGGTTTAGGGTTTAGGGTTTAGGGTTTTGGATAGACTTACACAAACAAGGTTTGGAATGGTAAGGTTTTTTCAGGACTTCATTAGGAACACACAGATTATGCTCTTACAGCTTTTCAAAAAAAAAAAAAAAAAAAAAAAAAACATTAGGACTAAAGAGCAGCGGAAGATAAACCTAGTTCTACCAGCAATACACACAGATCTGACAGCCTTATAGCTGAGAGGAAGAACTAGGGAAAGATCGGATACTACGATAGACAGATACCACATTACAGAGTTCACAACTTCGACAGGCCTTATAAGCCCCGGATTACGTCAAATAGGCTAACTTAGGCAGGGGTGAATGATGGTACATCCTTCCCGTGGGAAGTAATCAATGCCGTCTTTCGGGCCTTCCTACCATAAAGGAGAGGAGCGTGTGTGAGTACCTTTTGTAATCATTTCTGACTTGCCGGTGGAATAGGAACCGGACTGATGCTCCCCAGAATGGAAAAGGAGCCAGAACCGTAAGGTTCTGTTTTTTTGAAAAAAAAAAAAAAAAAAAAAAACACAAAAAGGGGGGTAGAGTGTGGGTGCAAGCTCACTGCAAGAGGCATGTGGTCATCTTTGTGCAAATTGGACAATGGGATGCCTTTGTAAACCAAAAAAAAAAGAGAAAGGAAATGAATGGTTGGAGGAAACATCTCGCCAGCATTCGGCAATACGCTAACAAAATAGAGCTGAATGAGCCTGAATCATATTTCCAGAAAAAAGTTCAAAAAACAAGGAGACGACATTTCCGATCCTGCGTCCATACAGAAAACTAAAACAAAAGATATTGCAATTCATTAAAATATACATATATATATTATATAATTCCCATTCACAACATAGGTAATTGCATTTTGTTGTGCGCTTCGCTCGTCTGCCGAGAGTTTCTAATATGCTACCGTTGTGACAGGATGGACCCCGACCCAGCAGCGCTGGTAGTCATCATCGACAGATCGGGATAAATACATAAAAGTATCAGAGCTGCAAAGTTTGTCTCACTGGAACTCCTACGGTTTCATTTTTTTTTCCTACTCGTGAAAGTCGTCGCAAGTTGAAACCCGACTTAAAAAAACTTATACAACTTGGAAGAATCTTCTCCACCTCAAAATTATTTTCAGCGAAAATGCACAAGTTATAAATAGCAAGCTTTTGCATTTGCCAAGTTGACCTTCCATGCCATCATTTCGTTCATTTCTCACGGTTTTTTTTTTTTTTTTTTTTTTTTTTTTTTTCTAGCGATGAAAAATCCTGAAAATCCTGACAACTGAAAAGTCTTAGAGTGAATTTTGCATGAAAACACACTTTTGCCTTGCTGTTTTATAAGTTAAATTTTTTTTTTTTTTTTTTTTTTTTTGTAAGTGGGTCTACAAGGCATGAAAACTTTGCTTTCACCAACCCTTCGCCAGAGCCCCAAAACGTTCGGAGAAATGAGAAATTTGAATTTTCAAAATTGAAAATTGCCAAATTTAATTTTTTTGCCAAAACGTTGGAAGAGCCCCAACCCTGCATGCACGTATTTGAATTTTTCCCAACAGTGGGGGAAGTACTGGTGGTTAAAAAAAAAAAAAAGTTCGACGGGCGACCGAACGGCTAAAAGGGGTGGAGCGAACATTCGAGCATTCAGTTCGGGGAGTACGCCCCGGCGTGAACGCCGTCGACCCTGGTAAACTTCATTTTGTGTCCTCCTACTACTCTACCCCACACCACTCAGACTGTCTCTTGCTTCCGCCGAACCCCTCTTATGTCCTCATTTCTTTTTCTTTCAAAAGGAGGTAGACCGTAACCTTATAGTATTCATCTGATTCCATCACGATTTGAGCTCATGACCTGTTTATGAACATTTACATGTGTGCACCATACCTGCATGCACGTATCTGCGAGCAAGCGCGCACGCGCGCGCGCGCACACACACACACACACACACACACACACACACACACACACAATCAACGTGGCAAGCCTTGTACGTGAGAGGCACATGAAAAGCGGAGCAGCAACAAGAAATAAAATAGGGTACGCCAAAGAAAACCAAAGCAAGGAAAACAAAGAAAGGACAGTACAAGGAAAAAGCAAAATAACGGTTTTAATGTGCTTCATATTGTTTGTTATAGAGGTAAAGCTGTTTCAATTTTGGATCTGCTCATCTTTGTGTCCTTGATGTTGTTTGCTTTAGAGGAAAAGCTGTTTCGTTTTTGGATCTGCTCATCTGCGTGGAAAAGGGATTGTTGTGGTGACAATTCAACACACACACACACACACACACACACTCCTGACGAGTCGCTGAAAGTCCGACGAAACAGTCTTGAACAGTCATGCTTCTTTTGTGGAAGTGTATAGCGAACATGACAACACACACACACACACACACACACACACACACACACACACACACACACACACAATGTACTGTTCATGAGTGCTTTTAATCCATACCTCTCATAGCAATCTGCACCTGGACTCGGTGAATCCCGTTTCCTAATCCCACACTCCTGGCAGAAGGAAAACAAAAAACAAAAGAGAGAGAGAGAGAGAGAGAGAGAGAGAGAGAGAGAGAGAGAGAGAGAGAGAGAGAGAGAGAGAGAGAGAGAGAGAGAGAGAGAGAG